AACTAAACCAAATTATTTTCTTTGAACTCATCAATTTAAAATACAGGATGATATAAAGCTAATTTACTCGTCCGTTTAAAATCGAAAATCTTCAGTACAGAAGGCCCCCTATCTAAAAACCCCCATAGTAACTGTGGAAGTCTAGCGCCAATTCATACCTTTTGCTAATTTCGTTACAATAGTGGTTCCTCCAAAAATCAAGCTAGCTGCTGTCAATATCTTAAGTACATTTAAAGTGGTATTCGGTTTAATATGTGGTTGTGTGTAGATAACAACGACATGCCTCTACAGTTAAGTCGATACCCGCTAATTACGTTATTCAACCAAAACATATTTCCATTGACTTCATCCTGTAGTGTAAACTTGTGTTTTATTTTACAGGTCCTTGTAATATTAAAACAACGATATAGTTGAAGTTTTGTCCTGAATTTTGAAATTAATCTCTATTATTTATTTTGTATTCCGTTTTTTTTTCAATTGGGTAGGCATATTATCCTTCTATGTTTTAGATAATAATGCCGGTGAGTCGATCTATTTTTAGAAAGCTTGTTTTAATAAGAGGATGAGTAGGTGTAAACCATATGTACCTTAAATGGTTCGGCAGTGTAGCAGTGCTAAACATAAATCTGGATATGAAGATAGGGCATTACTAAAATGAGACTCTAGAGTATAGGTATGAAGATAGGGCATTACTAAAATGAGACTCTAGGTATGAAGATTGGGCATTACTAAATTGAGACATTATATGTATGAACTTAGGAAACTACTAAAATATGAAATTGTAGAATACATAAGAAGACTGGACATTAATAACATAGTTAACAATGATAATGACATAAAAAATGTAGATTAGCTTAAAGATACAAAATGTATACGTAAGATTGTGATTTATAAAAGTAGAGTACTGTTCTATTATTATTTATTCAAATCTGTTACAAAATTGCTCTAAACGTAATTAAAACAACATCGGCCTTACTGTATTATATTTGTTTCTATTTGGTTGCAAATATGGCTAAAACTTTAATAAAAAGTTGCTGGGATTTTTTTTAATTGACTTAAAATTGCAGTAAAAGACTGGTAGAAATGTTTTTATTTTATTTTAATAAATTGACTTTTTTTTTCTGATATTGCTACATTATGATACAGTTTCTGCTACAATCCTCAGGGGCTACAACAGTGCAGACTACCCCCACAACCCAGCGTGCTACAACCAGGGTGACACCCAAGCCACATAAACCACACAAGCCACAGCCGCACTTTAAATTCAACCTCTTTAAATATCGCTCCCGTGAACAGGGATGTTAAAAACATCATTTGGTCGCTCTGTATATAAAATAATAACTTCCTTTAAAGAAAGCTTATAGAAGTATAATAGTAATTATCACATATTTCACATTTTTAAACAAAATCTTACCTACATGTTAGTTGTTAAAGTATTGAGACTAGAATTAATATTTTGCGTGTTAACAAATAGCATAGTGTTATAACATAGTGCTATTTTAACGCAGAGGGTAGACACAGATAGCTTACATAATATACATCTAGTTAAGCAGCTAAAAATTGCTGTCTTTTCATCGACTGTATTCAGAGTTTCTTCCAGGCATCTCTCCGCTTCACCCCCGAAGAAAGTCTACCGCCCCCCCCCCCCCGAACGAGATGGAATTTATATAGTAAACATACTTTTACTAGTGTCCCCCCCCCCCCGAAAAATGTCTACTGCCCCCCCCCCCCCGAAAATTTCAAGTGCCCCCCCCCCCCCCCCCCCCCGCGGAGAAAAAAGTCTGGAAGAAACACTGACTGTATTATGTACCAGTGTCTTTAGACGTTGAAATATGTCGTCACTTCAATTGCTACTCCAATAATGATTGCTTCTAACCCGTCTAGCTTTGTGTTTAACAAAAAAAAAACATGTTACTATTTTGCTTCTGGGTGTTTTCTACATAAGTAAACAGTAGCAAGGATCGTCTCATGGGGGGACAAACTTTCGATTTGCACCCCCCCCCCTCCTCCTCAAACTTTTGATTTGCACCCCCCCCACCCTCAAACTTGTGATTTGCACCCCCCCTCAAACTTTTGATTTGCACCCCCCTCAAACCTTTGATTTGCACCCCCCCTCATACTTTATATATATACCGAGGGGTCTATGGGGGGGGGTGTTATGACCCCCCCTAACCCCCCCTGCCTACGCCACTGTAAGTAAAGCTTATTTAAAAAAGAAACAACTCCACCTGTTGGTTACTAACATATGCTCAGAATTTCAATGTTTTATTGTAAACGGTAATTATATTTTTTTTTTCTCTGAGACGATTGGGACTAGAATGACTAGACGTTGAGGTCATAACATTTGCATAACAAGATATGTCTAAATAAATGTTTGAGTCAATGAGGTTCGAGGCTTTAAAAATTCCTTCTCAATACTAAATGTAGATACCAACAACAATTTTAATTTGAAAATCCTATACCAAACCTCATGAAAAAAAAAACTGAGGCTAATAAACTAATAACTAAACCTGCTCTATTTATTCCGGTCACGTGACTCTGGCCAACCAACCCGGACAGGCCAATTCACTTCTGATCTGAACGGTCTGTAGCTGTCTGACTTTGACTTGACTTAGTCCTCTTTGCTCTGTATGAAACATAGGACCCCAACCATTTCCTTCCAATTCTTCCGATCCCCGGCTATTAATTTTGCAATTTTCCCCTAGACATCCCTATTGGCTTCAGTTCTTGGAGAAGAACCGAACTATTATTAAACCTGTTTTTAAAGCCTCAAGATCAGAAACAGATGGGTCCCTTTACTCTTCGCTAAAAATATTATTTCATTTATTTAAAAAAACTGCGTCTGGGTTTTTAAGACTTTAATTTATTGAATTGAAGATTGATTAAAAATCTCACTTTAGATTATGACCACCACAAAATATAGTTTTCAACTACAAAATGTACCGTGCACTATTTACTTGTATTATAACAAGTATATGCTACTAACACGCAGGAATTCTTTAGCATCTTAATTTACTTTTCTTTCAAATTGCAACCAATCTTATTATACATTTTCTAAAGTCGTTGGGAGTTCCTGGTTGTTTTATTAATAAGTTTGTATAAGAGGATTATAAAAAAATGTAAAGTTTCCCCTTCCAAACCTCATGGTTTCTGGGGCAAGTGAAGTAGAGTTCGCCTGTTTCTGTGACCTAGGCATATGAAGGGATAGTGTGGTCAGCACAAAGCGTAGACGCATGTACTTATCCTAACATTCTTTAGTCAGGTACACATCAGAGCCGGGTGAATGGGGGACGGTGTATTGCCTTGAACCCGGATTCGAACTCGCGGCTTACGGTTAGCAATCTATCTCTCTACTGCCAAACCACTCCGTCCCTTTATTTATTATATCAGACGAACTTCAAAGTGGTCTTTAACTTAGCAATCACACGGTCCACGTTTTCTCTGAGTGGCTTGGCTTTAGTGGTTCTTCCAGACTTTTTTCTCCGGGGGGAGAGGGCATTTGAAATTTTCCGGGGTGGCGGACACGGTTAAAGCTATATATTTTCTATATAAATTCCATTTATAGTTGGGGGGGGGGGGGCGATGAACTTTTTTTTTGGAGGGGGGGGGGCGGAGCGAAAAGATGTCTGGAAAAAAACTCTGCTTGGCTTGGGGATTAAAGTCTAGAACGCGTCTGGTGGTAAAACGTGCTCTTCTAAGACGTTCGGTATTTTTCAGCGTCAAGTCACACGAACCCGTTTTGGCCTGTTCCTTGTCTGAAGATTCACGCTATTTGTTACGTAGAGTCAGCCATGTCAATAATGTAATCATTTGGGAGTCAGAAGATTTGTACAGTCTCTTTCAGGCATCTGATCAAGGGAGGGCACTGCCACGAGTAATGCACATCCAGCCTCTCTACTTGAGGAAACAAATAAAATAGAACCTATATTATTTTTTTCTAGGTAATATACATATATATATATATATATATATATATATATATATATATATATATATATATATATATATATATATATATATATATATATATATATATATATATATATACATATATATATACATATATATATATACATATATATATACATATATACATATATACATATATACATATATACATATATATATATATATATATGTACATATATACATATATACATATATATATATATATATATATATATATATATATATATATATATATATATATATATATATATATATATATATATATATATACATATATATATATACATACATACATACATACATACATACATACATACATACATACATACATATATACATATATACATATATATATATATATATATATATATATATATATATATATATATATATATATATATATATATATATATATACATATATACATATATATATACATATATATATACATATATACATATATACATACATACATATATACATATATATATATATATATATATATATATATATATATATATATATATATAACGTTTGTGCGTACTTGCGTGCGTGCGTGCGTGATTGTGTATGTGTCTGTGTTTCAGTGTGCGAGCAAAAGGTTCAAACCCACACCCCACCCCATCGTCGTGTGACAAAGTCCTACTGTTTGTAGAAATAATATTTAAACACTTTTTTAATATCTGTTTTAATTAATTTGGTTGTTTATAATAAATATTCTTAATTAGATTGTATGTAAATCTATGATTTTATTTGCTAAAGAATGGAGAACACAAAGTAAAGCGAATTAACTTATTTAAATACATTAAGCTCTGCGAAAGATAATAAATATTCTCTTTACACACTCATGAAAATCCTTGTCCTGCGCAATAAAAAGTAGACCCTGTTATCTTGTTTGCCTAGACTGTATATTTGCATATACATTAAGCATACGCCTAATTAAATTAAAGTGACAAAGCATTTTACATTTTCTAATTAAGTAATCTTTTAAAAGCACACAGCTATCTAGTCTCGTATTAATGCTACTTCTGGTAATTTCGTTGACCTAGTTCCTTCCACAACATTGCTCTCTGATACACAACAGAAGCAACATTACACAACAAGGTAAGTATTATTTGCTCTGAGTTACATGTTTTTTTTAACTATTTGAAAAATATATATTCCATAGATCTAGATTGTATTTTAAAGAGCATTATTTTGCCATAGTAAATCAAACTATTTAGATCTAATATCGAAGAAATTCTTTCGCAATTTAGTTTTATCGAAGTTGCAAACGCAGCAAATGGATTGAATGTTTGTTCCGAGATTACGTCATGCTGAATGTTATTCATTTTTCACTTAGTACAAACAACAAAAATTTGTAATTACATGATATGATTGTCAATTCCTTGTTTTTCCTATTCTTCCTTATAGTTTTAAGAAAAGCCTTTATTAAACAGCAAAAAATAAAATAAACATTGAGTATCCAAGTCTCTGTCTACCTACATCAACCACGGCCATCTGATATATATTTAAGTCTACTAGATTTTGTTACTTTATATTTGATCAAATCTTTGTTGTAAACTTAAAATAAATTTTCCCTGTTGTGTAGGTACCAAAAGTGTTGATAATACAATAGTTTTAGATGGTTGAGTATTTTAAAACCGACAAATAAACCTTTTATAGTCGAAAATACGTAAGCCGAATTGGGAAAACAAGACGCTATAAATAGATGGGGATTTTTTTTACGCCTGAATTCCCGTTATTGATGTAACTAAGGGCGTAGTAATCTATCTGTGGCAATAGAACGTGTAGCGATCTATGTATCCTATATTAGTATATTCTATCCTTACACTGAACAAGGCAGTAAATCAAAATAAATATCTTTCTTTTCTTTTTTATGGTTTAAAATACTTGATTTTAGTTTTTATGTTGGAAAGAGTAGGCGTACTACTACCCTATATTAAAAACAAAGGAATGTAGGTCACGCTGACTCAAGAACTAATAATAGTAACAGTTGTTGGCACATTATTCATGTGTACCGAAATAAATGTTTCAAGACACTGTAACAAACTGGAAGCCCCCCCCCCACCCCGTCGCAGAGGCATAACGATGGGGGGTGGGGCAGGGGGGGGGGACATATGTCCCCGGGCGCCGACCATAGGCGGCGCCAAAATGGGTTATAAAAACAAATTAAAATGTCAGTTTAGCTGCATTTTTGCAGTTTGAGGGGGGGAGTGCAAATCGGAAGTTTGAGGGGGGGGGGGTGCAAATTGAAAATTTTCTCCCGAGGGGGCGCCAAATTGAAAGTTTGTCCCCGGGCGCCGGTTAGGGTCGCTACGCCTCTGCCCCGTCGCAACCAGTCTCACAGATCGTTTCGTTCAGGGGTAATGCTGCTCCCCCCCTCTACCCCATAACAGATAAACCAACTCACCCCCCCCCCCCCTCAACCGACGAAATACATTTTAAAAATATGTCATCATCATCATCATTCCTTTGTGGCCCCTGGGGAGCAAAGGGCTGCAACCACACATCTCCATCTTCATTGGCCGGCCCACCCGCCTTTTTCCCTGGGGATTCTAGTCTAAAGCATGCCTTGCGATGTTTTCTTTTTCTTTTCTTAACGTGTGTCCGTTCCATCCCCATTTACGGGCCTTAATATCTTTCTCTATTGGCTGTTGCATTAAAATTAGCCACAGGTCTTTGTTTGATATTTTGTCTGGCCATCTTATTTTAAGTATATGTCGTAAGCATTTGTTTACGAATGCCTGTGGCCTATCACTATTTAAAAAATATGTAATTTTATGTATTTATAGATATATTTATACAGAAAATAAATTATTGAACTAGTGACCGCCCCCCTCCCCCATTAAAAGTTTCAGTTGCCGTCACCGTCCTCCCCCCCCCCCCCCCCCCCTCACTAAAAAAAGTAAAAAGTCTGAAAGAAAACTGCACAAACACACACACAAACACACACTATCACCACCACCTACGTCCAATTCTTAAAATTTCAAATTTTAATGACACTGTTTTCCTGTTTCATCTGTAATGTGACTAAAACCTAATATAAAATACAAACAATATTTATGTTCAAGGCTAGTTTGAATTAATTGTAAACATTCCAATATGTTTATATCCTCAGCCAAGAAAGTCACGTGACAACCATATCGATACCATGCCTAATGCTAGAGCTGGGATGTTTTTCTCTGACGACCAAGCTGGCGCTCATTGTATGAATCCATTCGATAACCCATGTTCTGATGGTACCATAGATGAAATGGGACGCAACCGCGGAAATATTTCCGTAATAGGTTTTACGCAATTAGATCCCTTGTATGCTGGACATTCAACGCAAACTAGAGTAAAAGGAGATGATGTGGATGAAGATGAATTTAGAGATGAGGTGGAAGAGACAGCCAATGGTGGACTGACTAAACATCAGGCTGAATGTACAACACGTAACATGAAAGGTGAAGGTCGAAGATTGACCCCTCAAAACTTCGCGGAAGAGAATGTCCAGAATAAGCTTCCGATGACAAAATTCGATAGGATTGCCTTGTCAAGAGAAGCGAGGAAAAATCTAGGTAAGTGGTCAGGTGTTTGTTATACACTAATGCAACTGACATAAAGTAATACTAAACACAAACTTTTTAATTAAGATGCCTTAAGTATAAGTTATTTAAGTCTTCTTGTTATATTTGTGTATTGTTAGGTTTAGGAGCTAGCACTATTGAGGAGGTTTTCTTTTCATTAAAATAAATGTGAAGATAAGAATTTGAACTATAATTTCATTTTAAGGTTCAAATTCAGTGCATCATTTCCCCTTCCAGACTTAGTTTTATTTCAATAACTAACACAGCTTCGTTATTTTCTTTGTAGACTTATTTGTGTTAGAAAATAAATCTTTATAGTTTAATGAAGAGAACACAATATTTTTTTTTTTTACTTTCGATGTCTTAATGTACCTGTTTTACTGCGCTATCGTCAATGCTTTAGGTCTGTCGGTCTTTCTTATGTAAATGTTCGGTGCTAAAATCATCAAGTTAGTACCAGCTGGAGGAAATATTCTGCTGTAGATGTTACGCTCTTGTGTCGTTAAGTTGTCGAGGGTCTTAACACAGTGTTGGTTAAGTGCCACGGGTTCAGATCATTGTTTCGTCCACTTGGTGGTGTAAGTTGTAAACTACTTAATTTGGATTAGTTTAATGGTTAATTTTGTGTTTTTTTCTGTTGTTTATATCATATACTAATTTTTTATACTTTTTTTGTTTCAATATTTAAGGTTCAAACAGGAAACTAAAATTATAAGAAGAAAATACTTCAATTTCAATCAATTTTGCTTAAATCATCATCTTTTCCTGTGCCCAAGATACTTAGAGCAGATGAAGTAGTGTCATCTGTTTCAACTACCTTGGCATACTAGGGGACGGCGTGGCCTAAGCGGTAGAGCGCTAGGCTGCTAACCTAGTTCGCGTCGCGCTCTAGAACGTCCATTAGTCCACATTGATCTCATGGGTATCTGCTAGCCAAAGTAAAGGAGGCTGGGCAAAATGCTGACCACAACTACCCTTCATGTGACATGTTAACTCTACTTCATCTGCCCAATGGATCAATACTTCTAAAGAAGATGCTATCCATTTTTTTTTACTACGGTATGCTGTGGTCAGCAGTATGCCCAGCCACCTTTGTTTCTTCTCAGTGACTCAGGTACCCATCAGAGCTAGGTAAACTATAGTCACGAATCTCAACTGAGATCCGAACTTGATGCATCCGAGCCAGCAGACCCCATTATGTTTATGTATCAATCAATTATTCATTGCAACACTTGAGCAGTTTATGATTAGTGTGTAATGAACTTGTTTTTATTTTACCCCAGGGTGTTATGAAACTGAGATAAACTTTGGCCTTGAGTCGCATTTACAAGAATATTATGATAACTGCAGCAAACACCCCGACCACAAGAACTTTGTTCCAGTGAAGCAGTTTTCTAAGTGGCACCTGCCCACCGGCTACCAACATGACGAATTCTTCCAGCTCTTGAAATGCCTAAGTAACCTAACGTTACGTGTAGAGGTATCCCACGTGAGCGCTTCACGTCCGAGCGAGTTAGAAGGGGAGATATACCCGTCATACGCCGCAGAAACCGAAACGGGAAATCATTTCGTGAGGTACGGAACTGGACGGATTCTGAGAGTTACGAGGAACAATAAAAAAGATCCTCTCTGTTATTGCAGTGATTGTAAGAAATCGGGAGATCCCGAAAAAACATGGTGGAGCATCGAAGTCGCAACCGCCAGACACGTGGTCTTTGATGATATAGAGGCGGAAAATACAGTATGCAGATGGGGTTTTGATGAAGAATTTTGTAAATTTGTAGATTTTAATATTAATTCGGTTATCGTATCCCCCGATATTTCAGCGGATTGGGCTATATTACGTTTTGTTACCCATAACGGTCCCATTGTTCACGAAATTAAAGAAAACTTGAAAAATTACACGCGACTGTGTAGAGAATTAAATGAAGCGAGTTTAAAGTCTCCGAAGAAACGCAAGTTGGTAGCGATAGTTTCTCACCCACACGGCTGCTGTAAGCAAATCACGACGGGGGTGTGGACTAGCAAGGACCATCAGGGAGGGGTGGACGCTAGGCTGTTCTACACGACCAACACCTGCACGGGCAGCAGTGGGGCGCCGGTGTACGTCCTGGGGCAGGAGGGGCGTCTGGGGTGGTACAGCCACATCCACAGCGGCACCAAATTAAGGGACTCGAAAAGGTCTCGGCAGAAAAATACAAAAGAGTCCATCAATTTTAGCAGGATGGTGGGTCCTTTAAATTAATAAGGCTTTGGTATGATGGGTCATATCTAATTAATTAGTCTTCTAATGCCGCTGTGGTTATTTCGTTAATTTAGTACACGCCTAATTGCGCGCGGGGTTGGTATGTTTAAAATACTACCAACCCCAACAGTGTCACCTGCAAGGAATATTTCGTTTCGGTTTTATTTTTCTACATTTATTGCATAAATAAATACTGTTTGAATGATCCTTTTTTGTTCTAATATACAAACTGCATACATAATAATATAATACAATTAGAATGCATAAATTATGTAGTGTTTAAAAAAAAAATTAAAATGCTTAGAATGTTACAACCTTAGATACCCTTGGGCGCATTCGAAATTGTTTTGTTGTATTGCTGAGAAAGTCACTTTTGTTATTAACGTTTGATAAACAGTTGAGGAACAGTTTGTAAAAAATTGCTAGGATCAATTGACTTATATAATATTTTCCCCAGTGTGATCTTTCCGTGGTAGATAGGGGGAGGGGGGGGGGCGTTCAGGTCTATATTGATCTAGATAGAGTACGCCCATATCTTTAAGGCCCATATTGATCTAGATAGAGTGCGCCCATAAGTTTACCATTAAGCTTAAATCTGCTTGTGTACAATAAATAACAAAGGCACTTCTTTGTGTGCCTACTTTTTTATAGCTTTCAATATTGGGTCACTAGCTTCAATTTTGTATTAGTTTTGTATATTTTATTAGAACTTTTCTATGGTATGTGATGTTTACTTTGGTTGTTCTTTATTTCATACGAATTTTTTTGAAAATGTTCTATATTTACTTAGAAATGTTCTATGGTTGATGTGTATTTAATTAGAAATTTTCTACGGTTGAGGTATATTTAATTAGAAATTTTTTATGGTTGATGTGTATTTAATTAGAAATTTTATATGGTTGATGTATATTTAATTAGAAATTTTCTATGGTTGATATGTATTTAATCAGAATATTTTTACTTCCTTATATTACCTTATATAACTTATACATTTTATTTCCTTTTGACGATGTCTAATGTTGTTGTTTTTAACTTACACCATATTACTTAATTGTAATGCTTGTATATGGATTTATTACAAGACAAAAGATAAACATAAATAGAGAGTGGAATATAATTAAAAATTTTAATTAATAAATTTTAAAGTCATAAATAAACATTCAATGAATAACAAAGGCAATTATTTAACGTAACATGTTCAAGAGACTGAAAAACAATGTTTTGGTATTAGATTAATATTTATGTTTTTATATTTTTATTTTATACCAGTTTCAAACATTGTATTGTAAATTGGTAAAACAATTGTATAGAAATAAAGATTATCCACTCCCCTATAGTTTTAGTAACGTATTTCCATCGTTAAAGTAACACTGACATTATATTTCCTGGTATTTCATGGTATTGGGCATATCTTGACCTAGTAGGGCCTACTTGAGTATCTTACATTATATTTCTTTACACGTAACGTGCCCATCTTGACCTAGTACTTGAGCATCTTCAAGAACTTAGAGCTGTGTACTTCACCCAGCTACACTAGCAGTGGTTGTCTGCTCTGGTAAACAACACACTAACTCTTCTCCACCTACATCATACCTCTATTTAAACATTTTTTATCTATTTAATATTTTGTTCTTTAAAAAAAAAGCTTACTTTAAAAAAACTGATGTTTGCAAAGAAAACAAACGTTACTTTTAAAAAAAGAGAACCCTGTATTTGATCAATGCTTTTAAACAAATTCTGCTTCACCTTTTCTTTGGCTTTTTTTTCTTTAATGAAATTTACAGCAACTACCGAGTTTCTCATTCACATTTAAGTGCATAAAAATGATGTATAGTCAATTTCAAAGAATCGTGATTATTACTGACCGAAAAATCGATTAAAAATTGGTTTCAAAGAATTAAACATTTCTAATCCCATGACTAAGGAAGAACTGAAGATGTGACCTGGAAGAATCGATACACCTGGGTCAGTTAGAGAGACTTGCACAGGTCAGAGATGCCTGGCAAGCTCTTGTCAGCAGCCTATGTCCCAGCTAACCTAGCCTAACTCTCGACTCTTTTACCAGATAAACCTGCCTAATCCCATGTAGGTGTTTACAGATAAACCTGCCTAATCCCATGTAGGTGTTTACAGATAAACCTGCCTAATCCCATGTAGGTGTTTACAGATAAACCGGCCTAATCCCATGTAGGTGTGTACAGATAAACCTGCCTAATCCCATGTAGGTGTGTACAGATAAACCTGCCTAATCCCATGTAGGTGTTTACAGATAAACCTGCCTAATCCCATGTAGGTGTTTACAGATAAACCTCCTAAATCCCATACACATGTTGACATATTAACCTCTCTAATCCCCTACCGTGTGTTGACAGATACCCCACCCCTTATCCTATACACATGTTGACAGATTAACCTCACTAATCCTGGGCCGTGTTCAAAGATAAAACTCTAAAATCCCTTACCTGGTATTTACAGCCTATACATAGCTGCCAGTAGCTGCGTGAAATTTTAAAAAGTTGTCGCTTCCATTAAATTGTAATTTATTAATTATTTATTTTTAAATTACTCTAGGTTTATGTCAAATTAAGCAGTAAATCAAAGAATAATAATAATGTTATAATAATACTAATAATCACCACAGCTGTTGGTACTAAAAAGAACCAGATTTACTGTCCTAAAGTCAACATACTCAACAAAGTCCACTACCATGTCAACACATAGCGTCTAAAAAAGCTTTAAAAATAAAATATCTCTTCGATACCAGTGTTACATTTGAGTACATTGAGTAAAAAAATGGCAATACATTGAATAAGTGGAATAATCATTTTTAATTAGTAAAGTAATGATTTAAAATTGTATCAAATTCATCATTGAAGCTCACAAATACAAAAAAAAAGCAAAATATGTTTAATTGGAATTATAGTTTAGACATAAATTGTAAATTACGTGTGTCTAGTAATACTTGTATCATATACTGATAACATTTTTAGAAGAAGTTACACAGTTATATTGGCGCCTAAGGGATATCAAATCCCCACATAAATTGATAAACATGTATAAAAATAGTTGTTGTTTTTTGTATTATTATTTTTATAATGATATGACAAAATACCATACAGTCCGCGAATCACAGCGAATACAGAATTAGCAAGTATTACTTTGAGCAGGGAAAAGTTATATTTTGTTGTGACATGAATGAATGGCTCTGTTGAACATGAAATCGCGTCGCGAGAAATTTAAAACCCATCTATTTGAACATAGAACAAGTCATATCAAACCATCTTTCACCGGTATTATTACGCTATTGAAAACATGCCAATTCATTTCTTCATATTCCTGTTTACAAACCCAACCCCTAAATCATTTAATTCCCTCTCAATAATTTAACCTGTATTCACACACTAAGGACAGTTTCCACCTACTATTTAGTGTACCCAATCCATTGTGCTACGACAATACAATTTAACTTTACCTTCGTGTGGATCTAGTTCTTGTAGCTTTACATTTAAACACGGAGACATCATTTTATTGCATGGCTTGCTAAGGTTTCTTTTATATTTTTTTGTGGACGATAATTAAAACCTTTGGTGGGGGGAGAGGGTGGAAAGGGGAGTGACTATGGAAAAATATATTTTCTATACACATTTTAAAATTCACTGCATTTTAACTTTCAGTTTCGTCCGGCGGTACGAATACATGCTTGTAAGAAACACATACAGCCGACATTTTTGAAATGCAATAATAATGTGTCTAGCCTAAGGCTTCGTAAAAAAAACCACTCATTTGTAATGTATTAATAATGTAAGTGTATAGCCTAAGGCTTCCGAAAAAACATTCATTTAATCCTTAATCATTGTCATAGTCATCAGATGTATTAGATAGAGATTGTTGAGTCATGTGATAAGAATAAGCGCAAAAGCATTGGTTGAAACTGCTCTAACAAGGAAACCACGTGACAAGAGAAAAGGAGAAAGGCTAAAGCTAATGAGTTGAAGGAGAAAGGCCTTTCATTCTAACACACATACGCTCAAACATGCATACACACACTTTATCATATAATCACACAGACAAACTTTCACTAGTTGATTTCCCCGCGACAATGAGAGACGAATAAAGGTGATGAAAGCCTAATATAAAAAAAAATAGTTTTATACGACACTTCTACTAATTGTTGATAAGTGAAGCCCTCTAATTAAAAAAAAAAGTACATTTTATATTATAAACACCACTTTGATATTGAGAGTTGAATTATTTCAAACAATCTCAAAATTAACCCACCCACAAAGATAACATCGATGTACATTAGGTGCCCTCCTCATTATTTACACGTAAAAATACGCTGCATAGGTAACAGATGTAGATTGCACATGAATGACATGACGCGGGTGAGTCAAGTTAACAACTTGTATTTGTCTACCTCTTCTCTGAAGGTGTTCAGTTTGATTTGAAGCTGTTCTAGAGTTCTTTTCATTTCAAATATTTCGTTCTCTCCGCATCGTTCGAGCATTATCTAAAATACAACATTTGTAAAACGTGTTAGATTATTACATTTTATATATCTATAAATATCTAATGTATGTATGTGTATTTGTGTGTATGTGCTTGCTTGTATGTGTGTGCGTGTATGTGTTTGTATATGTACATGTGTGTGTGTGTTTGCGTGAGTGCGAGCGTGCGAGCGTGTACATGTGCGTGTATATGCATGTGCATATTTATGTGTTATATATATATATATATATATATATATATATATATATATATATATATATATATATATATATATATATATATATATATATATATATATATATGTGTGTGTGTGTGTGTCTGTGTGTTTGTGTGTGTGTGATGTGATGTGTCCTTGTGCTGCATGTGTGTCTCTGTGCTTGCTAATGCATGCGTGTGTGCGTGGTGAAGTACGTATACATAAGCTTACAGACACCGAGAAATACAGAGCAGATACACAGTTCTACATACAGACTGATACCCAACCAGCGAAGAAGAAGAAAAAAATCAATGCAAAAATCTACTCGCGCTTATTGATCAAACCTTAGCGGCCCTGGCCAGATCAAACACAGACAGTTAATCTATAAACATATTCGTTTTCCTGTTGGCTATTGATTTTTCCGCTCGTTTGTCTCAACATAGACGGAGGAAGCCTTGAATGTTCTATTATTGTAATGCTTTCCTTATGAATCATTCAGCTCATGTTGTTGTTTTTTTTTTTAAAAAGAAGTCAATATCGTAATACAGAAAGATAGGACAATCTTTCGAGTTTTTTTCTTAGATGAATGTTGTGGGAAAAGAAATATTGCATTGCGCATTACGTGATTGTAACTTTTATCTTTTAATTCTTGAGATAAGAATGGAATAATTCTAAAATGTAAATTAGTGTAATCTCTTCGGGGATATAGGCGGCGTTTTCAGTGGCGTATACAGGATTTTGTAATAGAAAGGCTAATATATATATATATATATATATATATATATATATATATATATATATATATATATATATATATATATATATATATATATATATATATATATATATATATATATATATATATATATATATATATATATATATATATATATATATATATATATATATATATATATATATACATATATATACATATATATATATATATATATATATATATATATATATATATATATATATATATATATATATATATATATAATAACTTCATGAACTAAAATTGTGATTTAAA